GATCTTGGCTCACTGCAACCTCCACCTCTTGGGTTCAAGCGATTTTCCTGCCTCCACCTCTCAAGTAGCTGTAACTACAGGTGCCAGCCACCATGCCCGGCTAATGTTTTGTATTTTTAGTAGAGATAGGGTTTCACCATGTTGGCCAGGCTTGTCTTGAATTCCTGACCTCAGATGATCCCATCTCGGCCTCCCAAAGTGCTGGGCCTGGCTGCCAAAACTGTTTTCCAAAGAGTTATGTTAGTTTATATTCCTACCAGTCTGTGTAGTGATCCTGTGGATGTCAATCCTCTCTGACATTTTATCTTTTGAGATTTTAAAAGTTTTGCTTATGAAAATGTTACTACATTGTGGTCTTCATTTGCACAGTGATCTCAAATGATGTGGGCATCTCTTCATATGATCACTGGCTATTTCTATGAAATGTCTAGTCATGTTTTCTGCTTATTTTTCTGTTGGGTTGTTTATGCTCCTATTGATTTGTAGGACTTCTTTGAACATCATTGATATCTTATTTGGTGGGTCCCTACTGTAATAGGGTTTCTAGATTGTGACTTGTTGTTTTTACTTTTACAGTTATATTTCAAGCAAAATTTACCAATTTATAATAATAATTATCATTTCTTCTTCTTTCTCACTAATGTTTTTTTTATCTTAAAACTTTTCTGTCCTAATGTCTAGAACAGTGGATTTTAAAGTGTGGTCTGCAGAACCATAGGGGTTCCTGACACCCTTTCAGGGCTCTAGAACCAATCATCTTTATGACAGTTTCACAGATATGGTTATTTTCCATCTTTTGCTGCTGAAATTTGCACCGGTTTGCTGCACAATGGTGATGTGTGCGGAGACCTCTGAATCAAGGCAGTGTCATCATTTTGTGCAAATGACGTTTTATGCCATTACTGACATTGTAAATTTCTAAGCAATAAAAAAAAAAAGAGATAAACAAAGGTATGCTCAATTTATACTCTATGTAATCTCAACTAAGTAGTGTCTTTAAAATAAAAATATGCCAAAATAGTAAATGAAAAGAACATTGCTACCAAAGGTATGGCTAAAGAAGAATGACTTGTGAAAATTGATTATAACGACAACAAAATGTAAAGAGAAACAAGGAACGGTTTGCAAAACTTGAGATAACTAATGAAAGTGAGAAAATTTTAAGGAATATGTGCTGGTCAAAACATAACTGATAGCAGCTTATCATCTGGAGAACAGGAGGAACATTTTGATCTGCAAAGGAGACCATTTCTTTGACAGCAGAGCTTTAGTTACAACTGTCAGTAGCTGTGCTGTAAAGAGTTGTACTGTTCAATAAGTTATGCCCTGTTAGAAGTGCTTTGAATGAGTTCAACCGTGCAATGACCAATGCATGATGTTATAAAATTGAGCACAAGTAAAACATCCACTTAAAGGTCAAGACAGACCAAAAGATTTCAATGTTATGAAATACAAAATATTCATTGATATGGTTTTAGATCCAAAATTACAGTTATGCTTTAAAGAACCACCTGTTGAGTTTTGTGCTATCAAAGAAGAAAATCCAGAAGGCCATTATTTATCTGTATGAGATTGGCGTTTCTTCAGCATACTTTTAACCTAAACGTTTGCAACAGATTGGACATGGAAGTGGATATGAGAATCCAGCTGTCTTCTCTAGGCCAGATGTTAAGGAGATTTGCAAAAATGTAGAATAATGCCACTTCCTGACATAAATGTTTTTGAAAACATTTTTTATAAAAATGTTACTATGTTAACATATGCTATTTAAAGGTTTTATAACTGTTATAATTTTGATTTCTAATATAATAAAGATAGATAGGTATACATAAAAAAAAGCTCTTTGAGGTCCTCAGTAATTTTTTAAGAGTAAAAAGGATCCTGAGACCAAAAATTTCAGAATTCTTGACTAAAATATATTTAGCTATGTTTTCTAATAAGAGATTTTCTTATTGTTGTTAGTTTGCTTGTTTCAACATTTCCTCTTTTAAGCTATTAAATATATGTATTATAACGAACTGTCTATAAATATCAAAAAAGGACACCGCATTTTATGAAGAGTAATTAAATTTAAAAATATACAAAACTTCCCAAGTTCGTCTTTGTCACTTGTACAGAGCACATATATTTCACTTTGTTTTCTTGAGATTTTTTTTTTTAAGGTTGTTTATCCACCCACCAAATGTGTAAATCACACAGGTAGTAATCCTCGTGTCTTTCTCCCACCATTTTTTTTGTAATGGCCGTTACCTGTGGCTCTCACAGCTCCTGACCCAAAACTCCAGGCTCCATAATTTTCAGGCCCACTGTTCTGGTCTGGAAGGAATTGCCCCATTGTTTAAAGTGTAGGTTACTTATTGACAGATGTTCATTACATCTGTACTGACAGGATGCCCAGTTTTTTGTGAGAGTGATAGCAGGTAAATTGGGAGAGGTACTCATTTCCCTTTATTTCTATGATTTCTTTTTTGGTCCTCTGACTCTCAGATTACAGCTCAAGCAATTTCCAGTGGGATTTTACACTATTAACCTAATAAATTATTAGCAATGATGGGAAGGGAACTCCATTTTTATTGAATCGCTGCTGTGTGCCAGGTACTCACATGTCTTGTTTAGTTTCTCAGCAGCTGTTTGGCTTTATCTTTTAAAAAATCTATTTAATAGGAAGTGGCACAGAAGAGGGTCACAGGTTAAAACGAGCTAAAAAGCAAAACAAAAGGTGTAGCTCAAGATCATGGCAGATTTAAACCTAGTTGTTTATCTGTAAGCATCTCCTTTATCCACCATGCAAGATTGCTTCTATAAAAAGCTGAGTCCTAATAATATTGACTATTTTATACAGTGTGATTATTGCCATTGTTTTGTAAATATGTAGTTAAGGGACTGACCAGTTTTGTACACTCTTGCATCTCTAACTTGTATTTATATATACATCTGGTATTTATTGGTCCTGGTCATTTCCTTAGATCAGAGACAAGGAGCGATAGGTGAAAGGGCAGTGGATATGAAGCCAGATGATTTTATTCTTAAAGTACCATGCTTGGTCTTGATAAACTGTGTGATCTTGCCTGAGTCACTGAGCCTCTCTAGAACCTCATTTATTTTTTGGTAAAACAGGGGCAAGAATAGAAGGCCTCTCCCAGTGGCTCCTGGTTGCTGAAACCATCCAATGAGATGAGAGTTTCTGTGTAAAGGCTTTAAAAACAGGGTACTGTACTCATGAGAGTTTAGTACTTGTAGTGGAAGTGTTAGTTAGAAGTCGTAGATGCTGCTTTCACATAAAAATTATGTAAAATATCATTAGTGGTTTTCTGCTTACCCCTTGGCATCTGGCATTGCCTTTTGACACTGTATCTCTTTATTAGGTTGAGTCATCAGATTGCTGACATTTTACTATTTTTTATCTCAATAAAAAATATCTCAATAGTAAAAAAAAGTAGCAATACCAAAGTTATTAGTAAAATTACAAATGTTAAAATACATGAATTTGTATCAGTATAGAAGAGAGTATGGCAAAAGGCAAGTAAACCTACATTTTATTGTATTTTTCAAAACAAAACTTTTACCCTTGATCTCTAGCAACTTGTAAAATATTTTGTGTTGAAGAAATACTAAAGGCAATGAAGCATCTTCCCTATAATGCATGGGACGGATGGACTGATGTGGAGAGTTGCAAATGCTAGTCTAGTCAATTTAATTATGTTAACTGGGATATACACACACATACAAACACACACCTTCACAGTGGGTTATGTAAATGTGTATATATACATACACAGTGGGATATTATATATATATATATCACACACACACACACACACACACACACACACACACACCCATACCCATACCCATACACACAATTTTTTTTTTCATTTTTCTTGTGAATGCTTTCTTTGATTGTGGAATACTGGCAAGAAAGTTGGGAGGTATAAAAGTGAGTTAGGACTTAAGAAGTTGCATTTTCTTCATTTAGAGAGTCATCTGTTGACAAGAGTCACAGGTTTTAAAAAAGCTCTGCCTTCCCTTAGTTGCAGTGTTATTATAATTTCTTCAGAAGACGGAATTTCTTTTAAAAAGATTTTCTTTTGTTTACTTTCTTTTTTGGTGGGGGGAGTCTGGGAAATAATCTGGAGTAGATTCTAAGAATGTATTAAGTTTCTGAATTATTAGTCTAGATTTTTAGAAATTACTACACAATTTATAGAAAAACAACAATTTAATATTCCTTGTCCTTGCCATCTACAAATTAAAACAAAAAATGCTCTGAATGTTTGTTATTTAAATGTTTAATGCTCAGAGGGAGGAATCAGAAGAATTAAGTCAAGGAAAATTAAAACCTAAGACACTAATAAAAAATAAAATAGCAACTATGAAACCTATTGAATTCCTATTTATTTCCTTTGGAAACAAATACTGACTCACCATTAAATCCATACTAGTGACCTGTGCATTTAATATTTCAGGGAAGACTTCACAGCTGCCTTGCATGAAGTATTTCACCTTTGGTTTCAGTTTTGTGGAGTGTTAGCATTTTGTGCTTTTAAACCAAACTGTCTAGTTTTTGTTTCCTTTCTTCAGTATCTTCATTCTTTATTAGACTGCCTTTGCTCTGAGGATTACATACATCATAACCCAGCTGTACTGGTCTACTTTCTCATATCAAATACTAACTTTTCTCACTACCCACATATCCATCTGACTGTCTCTTAAAGTAAGTTGACAAATTTTTTAAAATAGGAATTTCCTAATGCCTAATACACGAGCCCCATGAAAGGAAATTATGCCTTATCAAATTAAAAAACAATATTTACCAGGAAAAGTTAACTAGACTTGGTTTATTACTTGAATTTGGAAAAGTCTTGCCTAGCCGATAACTCTGTGACTCCATCCATTAAAAAAAAGAATTTAGGATGTCAACACCACACAAAGCTATTTTCTTTTGGAATTGCAAATATTATTTAACTGTATTCGGCATTAAATGGAATTTTCTTACTTACCAAGTTTTCCAGTCTCCTAGGTTCTCTGTAGGCAAGATAGGATCAGCAACTGAGTGTAGCATTTGATGTTGAAGGAAATAGATTTTGCTTTCTGCCTGGACTGCTCGTGTTGACCAGTGGGAAGCACTGCATTAGCTCTCAAATCAAAACATTTAAAGTGCTCTCTGAAATATTGACATCTTGCCAAATGCTTGAATGTCAGGTACTACAGATGTCCAGGGTTCTTTGGAGCCCAGTTCTAATATGTGCTTGTGTAACTTGGATCTGATTTGGATTTGCTTAGGGTTATAGATAACCAAGGCCTGACTAAATAGTAAATTGTATGAAACTGGCTGTGGAAAGAGACCCAGCAAGTGAGAACTCCAACCAGCAGGAGGCTAAATCTTTCCCATGCTTGTTTATGACCTTTTCCAGTGAAGCTGTTGTAATAATAGCTTCTGTATTTATTGGGAAGTATTTTTAAGTTGTAATTCACATGGCTTCAAAGTAACGTTTTGAAAGTTGTTCAAAACCAAAAAATATTTGAGAGTAAAACATTTGCACCTTTTCTTCTTTCAGTGAAGGAAGGAGGCAGGAAAGCTGTTTAGGTGTTAACCTGAGGGTCTTGATTGGTGCAGGGCAAGATAACTGTCTAATGGGAAGAGATATTGAAAGGACTATATTCTCTCCTCTGGGACTTGGGGGATTTGCTCCTTTAGACTTATCCTGTTCTAGGGATGGACTTGATGCATGACAGTGCCTCCTCTACTTCATCTGTTGTCCTGACACATTTCCAGCCTTGAATTGGGGCTTTGGGGTCTCTAATCTTTCTTCACATTACCCCCTTGACTTGAATCTGGTTTCATAGCATTCTGTTTCTGTCCTGGGTTGACTCCAATGTCAAGATATTTCCTTCTTTAACAAATCGTTTCTGGGGCTCTCTGAAATTATGCTCTGGATTAATACAATCATAATACATCTTGAAGGAGGAAAGGCCTGGGTCTCCTATACTCCATCGACTTCAGTTCATCCAGTTTAGGGCCTATAGCATCGATGTTACCCATTTAACCAGTTTCTTTCTCGCTGTCCTAGAGAGGCATGCCCATGATCAATCATGCCTATTATCATTGTCAAATAATATGAAAACCCTCAAAGCTCTCCCTTAAGTGTGAGTCCTCTTTATTAGCAGTCATCCAAGTGATACCTTTATCTTCTCATCCAAACTTGTTGGAAATGGTCTTCATTTGCTGTCTCTACTTTCCCATTCACTTTGTAATCTAGTCCATCCACTCTGCCTTCTGTCCTCAGCACTTCTCCAGAACTGCCAAAGATCTCCTCACTGCAAATTGCTCAATCCAAGTGGACATTTTGAAAGATTATTTTTTGTCGTTGAGGTAGCCTTTTGGGGATTGTGGTAAAATACACGTAACATTGACGAACTTAACTATTTTCAAGTGTTCAGTGATGTTAATTACATTCACATTATTGTGCAGCCATCATCACCATCCATCTCTAGAACTCTTTTCATTTTGCAAAACTGAAATTCTATACTCATTAAATAATAATTCCCCATTTTCCCTTGCCTCTAGTCCCTGGTAACTACCATTCTTCTCTACGAAGTTGACTATTCTAGCTATCTCATAGAAATGAGATCATACAGTATTTGTCCTTTTGTGACTGGCTTGATTCACCTAGCATAATGCCTTTCAGGTTCATCCATGTCATAGTATGTGACAGAATTCATTTCTTTTTTTTTTTTTGGGTAACAAGTTTCGCTCTTGTTACCCAGGCTGGAGTGCAATGGCGCGATCTCGGCTCACCGCAACCTCTGCCTCCTGGGTTCAGGCAATTCTCCTGCCTCAACCTCCTGAGTAGCTGGGATTACAGGCACGCGCCACCATGCCCAGCTAATTTTTTGTATTTTTAGTAGAGACGGGGTTTCACCATATTGACCAGGATGGTCTCGATCTCTTGACCTTGTGATCCACCTTCCTTCATTTCTTTTTAAGACTGAATGCTCCGTTGTATGTATGTCTATACCACATTTTGTTCACCTGTCCATTGTCCCTTGGGTAGCCTCCACCTTTTGGCTATTGTGGACAAGGCTGCTATGAAAGTAGGTGTGCAAATATCTTTTTAAGACCTTGCTTTCAATTCTTTTGGTTATATGCCCAGAAGCAAAATTGCTGGATCATATGGTAGTCCTATGTTGATTTTCTAAAGGAATTGATATACTGTTTTCCATAGAGGCTGAAACATTTTAGGTTCCCACCAACAGTGCACAAGGGTGCCAGTTTCCCCACATCTTTGCTAACACTTGTTTTCTGTTTGTGTGTTGGGTTTGTTCTTTTTCTAGTAGTAGCCATCTTAATGGATATGAGGCATTAAGGCAGCTTTTGATGATGATTCTTTCCTTGGTACTTTGGCATACGGTTCTTGTACATTTCTGACACTGTTTTTCTGTGATTAAGGGCTTGCCCTTAAACATTGATGTTTTATGGATTCCATCCTCTGCCCCATGCTTTTGCCTTTCTCTGCCCTTGTCCTGACCTGTTAGCACTTGTGACATGTCTGCTGGCCTCTCTCACTACCTTGCACCTCTGTACACTGTTGTTCCTTGCACCTTTCTACCCAGATGCTCCTTGGGTTTTTCCTACTCAATATGTCCTTCTCTCTCAATTTTTGTTAACACCATCTACCCATCACCCAGGCTGTCAACCATTCAACACTCTGTCTCATCCATTCCCAGCCAGTCAGTCACCAGAACCTGGTGATTTTTTTATTTTTAATGCTTAAGTATTTCTTGACTGTTATTCCCACCAAACCTCAGGTCATTTTTGGTTTGTGTTCCCTGCCTTCAGTCTGCCTCCCACCCACAGGGTCTGTCCTCCACTCACCTGTGAGAGGAATCTCTCAAAATACAAGCAGAGCTATATCCCTTTTGTGGGTCTCTAACTCTTACAAGATAAGTTCATGGTGTTTAATTCGGTACTGAGTTCTCTGTAATTTGACACCTCTTCTTCAACCACTATTTGCCTTGGTCTGTATATCACAGCAACACTCACCTGTTTGAATGCTCTGTGAGTATCTGTGGCTCTTGCTCCCTTGCTTGGGCCTAAGATCTTTCCTCTGACTAGAATAGCTCTCTGGAATAATTCTACTCTCCTTTCCCCGGACTTATCCTGAATTTGAATTACATTTTTAAAAATTTCAGCTATTTGTGTACTTCTTGGTCTTTTTTATATCCACATGCCACCTGATCTGTTTATATCTGATATTTATGTACATGGAATCACCTTAAAAAGTAAATGTTTATCCTCATCCTAAGTAAAAATAGCTTTCAAGTTAGAGATTTTGTGGTTCTTTTAACGTAACTTGAAATAATTATATAGCTGTGTAATAAATTTGTCTGAGTTCTGTTTATCCTGAGTGTTTATCATCCCTGTGAAAACACTACTTTCAGATGCAGTTGGCTCACCCTTTCCTCTGGGAGGTTTTTCCTGAACTACCCATCCCCCTCCCTCCCTATGCAGGATAAACTCACCTTCCTCTCTATTACCAAGAAGTACTAGTCGTATCTCAATTCGTTCATTCTTCTATGCATCTCTTTATCCAGTCAACCAACTAATCATATGTTAGTAACCTTCTATATTAAATACTGTGTGAGGTACATCCAGGAGTAGTGCTTAACCTATTTATGCCTGATGTTCCATTATTGGAATGTTAAGCTTTTGGGAGTTATTTATATCCTGCTGCTCAAGGTCATTGCCAAGGTCTGATTTTTCACACACAAATTGCAACCTCTGGCATCAATACTGATTTTTGATTGTCTGCCAGTTGTTTCTGCCAACTAGATGGTGAGCTGTTAAGAGCCAGGGCAGTGTCTTCATTTTGTATCTTTCGGCACCGGATATTTTTATTCATTGAATTAAAGGAATATAAAAGTAAAGATGTGTTTCTTCCTTAATTTTGTCTTTCTTTCAAGTTTTACTTATACTTGTGTTTCGTAAATGATACTTTTAAACATTCATAAAGGCCACAGTAAAAGTAAAAAAGTAAAAGTTTAATATGTTCTTTTTTATTTTTGAAGTCTTATGATGTGTAAAAATAGACTGTCTTTTATACATACTCAGTTTTCTGTGAAGGAATAGGTTTGTTCATATGTAATGTACTAACTGCTAGAACTTGTTCAGAAAACCTCGAGTAAAATGTGTACATTTTAACCAAAGCTGCTATTTGGGATTGTGTGGATCAAACCTGGTCCCATTTTATTGATTTAAAACAGTGATTGTAGTGTTAGAAGGAGCATGTACTACATTAAAATGACATAGGGAATGTGTATATATTTAGAGGAATATTTGCTTTAAGGAGTCTTACCTCTAAAATAAATACTGCATTTTGTGAGCGAAAGGGAGAACTGATATTGCCTGAAACTAAAGTCCCTGTCTTTTGAGGTTAACACTCTTGGGAAGTTGTAAGGAAAATGTATTGACAGAATCAACTAGCATGCAGCTAAGGACTTTTGGTGATCTGGGGTCATGACAGGCACCCTGTATAATGAGATAAATGTCAGTTTCTGGGATTTAAGAGCCTTTTCCAAGAAAAAGAAGCCAAGTTAAATATGGAGAGTATATTCCTATAAATGAGTTAATTTGAGAGGCACATACACTGCACTCAAGTTGATCGTGTCTACAGTTTCACACTGTGCAGGAAACCATTGACTGTCCCAGGGGCCTTCCGCTCTTACCCCTTGCTCCAGTTTTGAGTGGAGCATCAGCAGCGTAAGATGTACACTTTAATGTGGCTTAGATCATGTTCATTTCCAAACACACCATCTGCTCTGTTACCTCTGGCCTTTGTTAGGCTGTTTCCTAATCCTCGCAAGGGCCCTCTTAAATTTCACTTTTGTGGAGCTTTCCTTTATCTTCTTACTGAGAATGAATGTTTTCCTCTCTCTGAATTCCTATAGTGCTTAATTTCATTCTGCTTAGGCCACCCCTCAGGCCTTATACTGTATCACAGATGGTGATGGCTGTGTCTTCTGATTTTTTTCTTTTTTTGTGAGGGTGAGGGTTTGGGGAGGTGGGTATTTTGTTGATGTTGCTTCAGTCTCATTCATGGAGTCATTTGGCCTGCCTGGGGAGTGGAGTGGGGCAGTTGACTTCTCTGCAGCCTCTGTCATCCACATTGCCAGGCTGTCCAGGGTGACTTTTTGAGCTTGGAACATCATCCTTTTGCTGAGAGCAATCTGTGGACACTTGACTCCTAAAACTTAGCTCCACTGAAAAAAGTCTTTTATATCCAAGGTGATTGTATTTAATCACTGGGGACTCCATTACTTTTCCTTTTTTCTTCTTCTTGTCCAAGAAATGTATACATTTGATATATCTTTTTTAAAATTTTCTTTTTTTGTTGTTAATTTCAACTTTTAAGATTTATCAGATTTATAAGAAACAATTTTTAAAAACTTAAAATGAAAAATACAGCAGTCTATACCCTTTTCTTATGCCCGAGTAGCTACCTCTTTCTCCTTGTAGCTATTTTTAGATAGTAGTGCCTATATTTCCTGTCTAAGTGTAGGTTCTTGGCTTTTGAAAGTATCTGTCGACTTCTTTATGTGGAAGATGAGGATTTAGCTAACTCACCCTGCATGTTTCCCTTTTATAATTATGTACATAATTTTTTGGATAAATCAGCATCTTTCATTCACATAACTAGAGCTATATGAGTTTTATTTGTAGCAGAGGCTTAACATTTAGTTTCACCTAGTGACCAGGAGAAACCTTGCTGTCTTGTTGTGTCTAATGAGGGCAGGTTTCCCTCTGGGTTCTGCCTGCCCATTTTCCCATTTATAATTAGTTCTATATAAATGTTAGCTATATGTAAACATGCTATATAAATGTTAGCTCTTATTATTTCTATATTATATATTGAACCAAACCTTATTTAATCTAGCTTTTAGGTAGACATGTAGGTATACGCTTAAAAGTACTTTTGTGAACAGCTGCATTTAGAGAAATATGTGAAGTCCAAGTGTATGTTTATATAGATGTTAAAACTTTTACAGCATAGATGCTTCTTAGCATAACTCAACAGGAAGAGGAGATTTGTGTTGACAAGTGTGCTTGTTATTAATAACTTTGTGTTATATTTCGCTGGAGAGACCTTCTAGCTTACCAGTTTTAGGCATTTTGCTTTTGGCAGGTTGCAATTATTGCTGTCTTGTTAATGTCACATACATGATATATATACACCTTCCAAAACTGTGTTTTTCGTTCTTGCCTTCCTAGTTGAGATTTATCTGCTACCAAAAGTCTAAGTCAGATTCTGATACTTTGCCTTGCTGTTCTTTTTTTGTAGTTTTTCCAGAAACCTTATATTATACTTAACATAAATGTAGTATCATAATAAGAAAGGCCTTTGCTTGTATTCATTTAAAAATGTAGAGAAGGACTTAAAAGATAGGAACTTTCGAGTCACAAATAGGCAGGCTGAGGAATTGATGAAACTGGTGGAGACCAGTTTCATGTAAGAATAAGCAATCTGAGGACAGAACTAATAGCCAAACAACAGGGAATGTGAGAGGGATACAGTGACTTCCATTTGTTTGTAAAAAGGCTGTTTTGGGATTTATACTAATGGCTACCCTGCATGTGTGACATACAGTGTGACTTAAATATCTACCTCAACTTTTGCCATAGTTCAAAAGTTGGGGGAAGGAGTGTGTAGATAATGAGCATACA